CAAAAACCACCTCTGCATTTTAATGGCCAGAGCTACATTGATATTGGTTCTCTGTACTTGATTATTGTATATATTTCCTTGGGGCTTACCTTTCTTTTACATTCTCTTTTCCATAATTGACTGTTCAGCTCTCCTATGGATGGCCCCAAATGCAGCTTCATAAATCTATCTTGCAGGCTACCCTAATGTAAAGATTTTTAAAATTTCCATTACTACCATTAGAGTCAACATGGTTCAGGAAACTTACTAAAAACTTACTATGTGCAATATGATGAGCTGGCTCTATTCCTTTCTAGTCAGCAATCTTTTTTGAGTTGACAACATGCAAAACACTGCCCAAATGGTAGGGAAGAGAATTTGAAGTGATCTCATTAAATGAAAAGGCAGGATCAATACATAGACATAATATAAACAATAAAAACATATATAAATATATACTCAAATGTGATTGATATAAATAGACAAAAAGCATTAACTCAAAAAGTAAAGGAGAATACCCATAGGAAGAATACACTTTTAGAGGATGGATCAGAAGTAAGAACTTTTAGGTTGAAATCTCTTCATATTGAGGCTGGTGCAGCGTCTTATGCCTGTAATCCCAACACTTTGGGAGGCCAAGGCAGGCAGATCACTTGAGGCCAGGAGTTCCAGACCAGCCTGGTCAATATGGTGAAACCCCATCTCTACTAAAAATATAAAAATTAGCCCAGTGTGATGTCACGCGCCTATAATCCCAGTTACTTATGTTGCTGAAGCATGAGAATTGCTTGAACCTGGAGGTGGAGTTTCAGCGAGCCGAGGTCACACCACTGCACTCCTGGGTGACAGAGCTAAACTATGGCTCAAAAGAAAGAAAAAGAGAGAGAGAGAGAGAGAGAGAGAGAGAGAGAGAGAGGGAAACAAAGAGAAAACTCTTTCTTGAAATAATGACTGTCAGATAATTTTCAAAAGGACTGGAGAGTAGAGTTGCTTGGTGAAATGGAGAATTAGGGATGGTGGAAATCAAGTTTAAAGTATTTTCCAAGAGGAGAAAGCAATCCTTGGTGAAAAAAATTAGAAGGAAGAGGCTAGTAGCATTAAACACAAAATAAGTAACTTTAGAATAAATACAAATCTGCAATCATAGCCCATCTAATATGACCTTTTCCAAGCTTTGAAATCTTACCTCATTTTATGTTCTTTATTGTGCTGCACTCCAGTCACATTAATTTTCTTTCTAGCTCTCCAACATGCCAACGTTACTGCTGTGTCAGGGTCTCCACGGTTGTGGGTCCCAGTGTCATTCTGTATCACTCATCTCTCCAGTGTATTTCTAGCCCTTCAACTTTCAACTCCACTAAGACCTAATGAGAGCTGCTTTCCAGTCTGTTCCATCTAAAGTAGCTTACTACATCTTCATTTCTCTCTATCTATTCTCTTGTTTGATTTATTTGGTAGTATTTAATACTCTTTTAAATCATCCTCTGTATTTGTGTAGACATTTATTGTTTCACACATATGCTCCATGTTCTTTCCGCTGTGTTCCCAGCGTTCAAAAGGTAATTGGCACAGAGTATACACTAAATGATTGTCTGTTTGTTGAAATAAGGCTATAGTTAATTTTACATAAACTTTTATTGAAATGTATGTGTAGAAAAGCACATGAAACGTTAAGTGTACAGCTTGATGAGTTTTTAGAGAGATCACACCCCTTGTAGTAGCTTGAAGATCAAGAAACAGAACATTAGAGGAGTTCATCCCCTCCTTGTTTTTAGTTAATTTAAAGTAAACAACTGACTATTTCTTAAAGTGTGAGATAGGACATGCCATGGCAAGATAACATTTAAAATCATTGAGTTTCCTTGATATGATTTTTATGTTTTACAGGGAACATGGAGACAGTTTGGCCATGTACAGGTTTTAGTAGTTCAAGTAAAAATATTTAAATATAGAAACATTACAGTGAAAAAATCAGACAGTTTTCAGCTGATTATTAGTATGACAATATTTGTAAAAGGGGCAAAAAATTATAAAGTAATGAGGATAATATAAGAAGTACAGCAGACATAAGCTAAGGGCAGAGTTGTTTAATGAGGAAGAATGAAGATGTCTAATTTGTATAGATAGATTTTATGTTTTGTATCTTTTATTATTATAAAATCATTGTGGGCCGGATACAGAGGCTCATGGCTGTAATCCCAGCACTTTGGGAGGCCGAGGCAGATGGGTCACTTGAGGTCAGGAGTTCAAGACCAGCCTGGCCAATATGGTGAAACCCCGTCTCTACTAAAAATACAAAAATTAGCCGGGCATGATGGCGCCCACCTGTAATCCCAGCTACTTGGGAGGTAAACGTGTTCATAGGGGTTTGTCGTACAGGTTATTTCATCACCCAGGTATTAAGCCTAGTATCTATTAGTTATTTTTCCTGATCCTCTCCCTGCTTCTAGCATCTACCCTCCAATAGGCCCCAGTGTGTATGATTTCCCCCTTATGTGTCTGTGTGTTCTCATCATTTAGCTCCCACTTATAAGTGAGAACGTGTGGTATTTGGTTTTCTTTAACTGCATTAGTTTGCTAAGGATAATGTTCTCCAGCTCCGTCCATGCTCCTGCAAAGGACATGATTTCATTTTTGTGTGTTTGTGACTGCATAGTATTCCATGGTGTATGTGTACCACATTTTCTTTATCCAGTGTCTAACATGATGGACATTTAGGTTGATTCCACGTCTTTGCTATTGTGAATAGTGTTGCAATAAACATGTGTGTGCATGTATCTGTGTGATAGAATGATTTATATTCCTTTAGGTATATACCCAGTAATAATAGTATGGCTGGGTCAAATGGTCTTCCTGTCAGAAAGACCAAAATTTAAGTATGTCTTGTTAATCCAAATATTTATTAAGCTATGGATAGGAAATGCTTTCTTTTAGCTGTTGTGGGACATACAGGATACCTCTGCCCCTAGGGGGCTTACGATTCAGTTAAAGAGCACAACTCAACACATCAAATGATAACTCATAAGCAAACACTAAATAGTGAGTTACAAATATATGTCATAGTATAAGATGCAGTGGATATTCCAAAGAAAGGTAAAGTACTTATAACTGATAAGGTCTAAACTGCTGAGGTGTAAATTACAATTTTTACAGAAATAGGAGTAGGTTTAAAGGAACAGATTTGAAGTTCAGTTTAGGATATGTTGAGTTTAGATGTGTCTGAAGCATCAGAATGGACATATTGACAAACATTTGTTATGTGTATCTGAAACTTCAGGGAGAATTCTGGAATGGGGGCTCAGACTTTGGAGTGGGGCAAGAAATAGAGCTTGTAGTAGAAATTCATCAGCAAGGATAATGCCACCTAATGAAATATTATAAAGTGAGGTTAACTATGGAACAAGTAGAATTCCAAGGAATAACACTAGTCATATAGAGAGGAGAAATAAAAGCAAAGAAATCTGAGCAATAAGTGTGACAAAGGTAGGAGAGGTAAGATGTATCACTTTATTCAAAAATTATCTGAGTTGACTAATTCTAGCATATCATTTTCTTTCAACTATTCTTTCTAGCTAAGCACATTTTCTAGGCATTTTATATCATGTGTGGGAATTCTGTAACGCAAGATAATAGTTTTATATATAAACTCTAGAAATGCATAGACTTCTGTATATTTGTAAGGGATACATTTATTTTTATTGTATGTTAAAAATTCAGTGTTTCCTCTAAACAAATATTGAAAGGTAATTTTTTTTTTTTATACCACTGAGGGAAATGCTAAAGGAGTGACTGATTTAAGACTGAATTTGGACAGTGAATGAAAATACTTATGACCATCATTCCATGCACACTAGAATAGAGATTCATTTGACACATTTGCAAAACTGTGTGCCTATGTCTGGGTAAGCTTTCTTGCAAATGAACAGCAGTGTTTTTATGTAGTAAGTCACTAAGTATTCCAGTCCTCCTCAGTAACATATGAAAGTATTACAAGTTTTAGAACTCAACACATGTTACCCAGGTAAAGTGATGAAACACATTGTTCCATACACACATTATCTGGAAAAAAATTAACATTTTGAATTTTTATAGTATCCCTAATACTATAAAATCACTGGGACACTATTTTGCCATCAAAATAAGTAAGTTATTTACAAGAAGAACTGTTTTGAGATAATGCATTAATAACTTTAGAAGGCAAAGAAAGTCCAGGGGACCTAATGTGAATTGGGCAGGAGACTAAATTATGTTGTATGTTCTTTTTTTCCCTTCAGCAATTTCAATCCAATGTTTTTACAAAGTTTTTCTTGGCTCATCAAGAGTTTGTTAGATACTTCTGGCCACTTGCTTGATTTGCATCTATCTACAGTTGTGCAGATTTACCTGGAGGGTTAGCCCTTAAACTCTTGAACATGAAATAACAAGAACAATAATAATATAGAAACACTCATGAATGCTTCTTTCCTTCAGTTTTAGATCTGTCACCTGTCATTGCTCCATATACAAAATATTTATGTTTATAAATTTAATTATCTATCATTAGATTTACTTAATTAACTTTGTTCTAACAACTGTGTTTCATTTGTTGGCTCTTCTTCAGATTCTTTTCTTTGTCTTCTCACGTCAATGTCTGAATAGATTGCAGTGTTTGTTGAATGCACTCCATTATTAAGTACACTGTTCTGATCCTTGTATAATAATTTGTGTAACTACCACCAGAAATAGACTTTTCCCCTGGGGAAACTAGTTTGCAAAGAAAATGTTATGAATTTTCATTGTAGTCTGTTAGTTTTTATCTCCAGGCATACTTAATATTACAGTATTTTTTTAAAATGCAGTGATATTTTAAAGTTAATTCATTTATAACTTATTTTAAAGTTAGGGCATGTCCCTTAAAAAAAGACAGCCTGTCATATTCTCATAATAATATGATTTAATACAATGTAATGTGATGTTTCATTCATTCTGGTTGTGTTGGCTTTTTCTAATGCTTTTTTTTTTTTTTTTTTTTACATTTTCAGGGTGAAACAAAGATCTTAAAACTAAAGAATCTTCGACCTCAGGACTATGCTAATTATAGCTGCATTGCTTCAGTGAGGAACGTATGTAATATTCCTGATAAGATGGTGTCATTTAGACTGTCCAATAAAACAGGTATGGAATTATCTCCATATGTTACATGTATCTTATCTACAACTAATGTTTAAAAACTCTCTTTAACTTTTTAAAGACCAAATTATTTCTATGGTGTATGTAGGAATAAGCACCTTTATTCCCAGAAAATCCTGGGATATCTGAAAAGCTTCATACATGGACACAGTAAAATGTCATTGTAATATACTCCATGTAATATGTTTACATGTAAACATACAATATTATAGCTCTTTAAAGTATTGCATTCTAAAATGTCACTAATGAGCATATATCCTGTTCAAAAATATTCTTGAGAAATACTAGATGCTTCATATAAAAATTCATGATTGAAGTTGCTAAATGAGTTTTGTGCTTTCAGAGTTAAGTAAAATAATCTTTCTTTTGCTTTGTGTCAAGTCAAGAAAACTAATAGGTAATTTCAGATAGATGTTTTTAAAACAGTATTTTTGTAGAAAATGACTGGGCACGGTGGCTCACTCCTGTAATCCCCAGCACTTTGGGAGGCCGAGGCGGGTGGATCACCCGAGGTCAGGAGTTCAAGACCAGCCTGGCCAACATGGCGAGACCCTGTCTCTACTAAAAATACAAAAATTAGCTGGGCGTGGTGGTGGGCGCCTGTAATCCCAGCTACTCGTGAGGTTGAGGCAGGAGAATCGCTTGAACCAGGGAGGCGGAGGTTGCGGTGAGCCAAGATCGCGTCATTGCACTCCAGCCTGGGCAACACCAACAAAACTCCGTCTCAAAAAAAATAAAATAAAAGTTAAAGCCTTAATAGGATTGAAACTTAAGTTAGCCTTTGTTCAATAATATAGACCCTAGAATAATGGTAAACATCTTAAAAATAAATTGATGAATGAAAGAGCAAAGAGAGAGTATATGAGTAAAACATATTTTGTATGATTGTGCTTAAACAATCACCTTAATAAATTAAAATTTGAACTGGTCTTGAGAAACTCCAACTTTTTGTGTCAATTAATATAAATTTTTACTTTTAAGTAACTATATTAAACTAAAGATTTTTAAAGACCCTTTTCCCATTAACAAAAATCTCTAAAAGTATGGGCTTTTTTGTGTCTGGGTCTAGACTCTGCTTGTGCCACTTACTAGCTTTTGCACCTTGTCGAGCAAGTCATCTAACTTTTCTTTGCCTGATTTCCTCATAAATTCATGAAGTTGTAGAAAGAATTAGAGTGGATACATATAAAGCATGTGGAACACACTTTACTAGTTCTTCTAACAAAGAGCTGCTCAGCAAATCCAACCAACTTAGTTGGTAAAAAGATGAAACTTAGGACTTTATTGTAAAATATATTTTAAAAAGTCAGCTACGGCATTGGTTCATCAACATATGTTCCATCGAGCTGCCAAGATTTTGAAATGTTCAGTCATTTATACATTAATTTTTCTATTCATCAAACGTATTGGGACCCTCCTATGGTTCAGCAATGATAGGAACACTGATTTTGACTAAGATTTAAATTGTCTTAAACTAGAGAATGCTCTATTTCATATCAGTTAAAAGTCATTAAAGTACAAGAACAATGAGAGAAAATTAAACTTTATCAATAATCGTAGGAAATTGTTGACGGAGGCAGGGCGTGGTGGCTCACGTCTGTAATCCCAGCACTTTGGGAGGCCGAGGTGGGCAGATCACGAGGTCAGGAGATTGAGACCACCCTAGCTAACACGGTGAAACTCTGTCTCTACTAAAAATACAAAAAAATTAGCCGGGCGTGGTGGCGGGCGCCTGTAGCCACTGCACTCCAGCCTGGGCAACAGAGCGAGAGTCTGTTTCCCCCCCCAAAAAAAGTTGATGGAAATTATGTTGCAGAAAAAAAATAGAAATATAAAATCTTAGTGGACTTGGGACTTACAAAAGTTAATATCATCTGACTTAAAAAAGGGGAAATTGGATATTGAGAAACAAGAATAAACAGGTTAACACATAAGAACTGGTTGTAATTATGTTATTCTTCTTGGCATGAAATGCATTGTGCCTTATAACTAATTTTGTTTTTCTTAGCTTCTTTGATATTTTTCTTGAAATATATATGATCCAGAGAGAAAATTAAAAATAAAATGAAAGTACGACCTATGGGTTGAATAAAAGCATTACTCTGGAATGAGGAAGAAAAAAACACTGAGATACATTATTACTTAAGTTACCACCTTGCACTTTAGCAGTGCCTTATTAATTTTTAAAGTCTTTAGTGTTTTTTTATCTCAGTTTATTTTTATAACTATAGGAACATAAACAGATTTTTCTTGTCATGTCTTTTTCTATCATCTGACACATAATGAACTGTCCTGCAGTAATGAAACATCCTCATTGGATTGTTTTGAGAATGAACTAAATACACAAAATTCTTTAAAGACAAAGATAACCAATAAAATTATATTTAATATATTTATCTTGTAGATGTGATTTTTATCATTTTCCAAGGTCCCACAGCTCATAAGGAATGGGGACTAGATTGACTCCAATGTTTGAAAAGTTATTCTAAATAGGAGACTGACAGCTCTTCTTAGTTTTCGTAGAGATGGAGAAAATGAACTTAAATCTCATCCAGAGTGTTTTGTTAGGAATAAATAAGGACTTCATACCTTAAAGCCAAAAGTGGAAGATTACTGGGAAAAGTTGTAGAATTTCTGAAATCTTTTAAAGTAATTGGATGACTTTATTTCTGTGATTATTAAAAAAAAAAAAAAAAAAAGGCTCAGAAAACAGTCGTTGAATACCTGTTCTGTGGAGGGCACAGTAGTGCTATAACTAGAGATATTTTATTTAACCTTTCAGCTTTATGTTGCATTTTTTATTTTTCAGCTAATATGTATCTAGACTGGGCAAACATAAAAACCTATTATTCACCTTTATAAATTATCTCACAAAAATGTTGATTGATGTTCACTACAAAATAAGTATTAGAATTATGGTAAGTAATTGAGTTTAAAAATATAAGCTAGTATCCGTTCAACTCTTCAGTAACTGTAATCAGACATGTCATATGCCTCATACTTTACACGTTCAAACTGAGTTCATTTCAGAAATTTTTCCATCTGGTGGTGCTCATAGTTGGAAGAGTTTATGAATTTCAAATAGGTGAAATTATTGAGGTAGCTTTCAAAGTACACAGGGCATAAATTAAGCTTAGAACATCCTCATGCAAATAGGTCTGTAAACTACAAATAATTGCATGCAAGATATTTCAGTGCTCTTTTAATAGAGAAAGAGGAGTATTAGTTACCATTGCTTTAATCAATGTGAAAGTCAGTTGCTCCTAGTGATTCTTACTGTTTTGAATCTCTAAGTGATGTATGTAAAATTACCGTATTTTAAACTGTTGGTTTGCAAAATGTCAAGGAAAATGTGTACCTTATTGACAGGAGAAAATTATAAATATTGTAATATGTTTGGTTAATCTTCTCTGTAAGCCAATATGTTTATAAAAGTCTTACTTTAGTTTGGAAATTATTCTTACAATTAATGTCAAATAATTGGCTAATAAATGTACTTTTGGTAGAGACAAAATGCCATTGTAACATCTCCACAATCACATCAACTTTTTAATTGTAATTAGTCTATGGACCTGATTTGCACAATGCCCAAATGAAACAGGATGTAAAGATGGAAATAATGTATAATAGAAGTAAAAATTTCTAAAATGTTCTTACAGTGGAACAGTTACACCATGGAGTAAGTTTTCTGGCTGCATCCCATACCTGCTGAATTAGACTTTCTGGCAGATGACCTTGCAATGTGTACACTTTAAACAAGTTTAAATAATTACTTTGGATGATAGTAATATGTAGTCTTTGTTATCCTACTGTTTCCATGAGCCCATTCCATTTTGTGAATAGAAATTAATTTTCTAGAATTGCTTCGAAAGGCAGTGTCTGGGTGTCATGGTAAAGTCAATGTCATCTGTAGAATTACCAATAACGTGGTTTCTTAACTTTCCTACTATGAAATAGCATTGTGATGGAACTCATAACTGTCTATCAGCCATAGAAAGTGTTAATTAATTTGTTGGCTCCCATTTCTTGTTTGGCATGCTATGAAAATGTCTCCTGCCACAGAAGTGTCATTATGTATCACACCTAATCTAGCTGTCTTAAAATTTATTGAGATAGTGCATAGAATTTTATAAAAGATAAAGTGACTTATTTATTTATTTATTGTCGTGCACCCTGATCAATTGACACAGCGCTTGGGAGGGTCTAGAAGTTGTTTTGGTTGTTTCCCTACTCATATTTGGATGAAAAGGGGTATCACCTCTTGACTGGTAAATTATCTTTAAAACATGTGTGTATATATATATGTATATATTTAACCTGGGAGCATAAATTCAAATTGTCGTGAATATATACTCCCTTGATCCTTGACTGGTAAATTCTTAATGTAGCTATATTTCTCATAGTTTATTAAAATAAGCCTGTTAAAATTTGTAAGTTTAGATGGTAATATAGGTGTATTTTGAAATTATCATAATTAGGATAACTGAGTATAAATTATTTTAAGTTTCTCATATTATAATGTGTGTTACCAACACTAGAACACATAGAATATGATAAAACAAATTTTATTTATTTTAATGAATTTCAAGCACTTAATGACTTGATGTCTCACAATTTCAAAGGCAAATAAGAATTAAGTACGTTACCTATATTAGGATGAAAAACATATTTTTTACCTGCTTGAGAGGTTATGATGAAGTGTATAAAAAAGGGATAGGTGTGGCTCATTTGGCCTAATTATATAAGTCCCTTGATTTAGTCTGCTCTACTTTAGCATTTATAAACGTTATCTAATTAAGATATCATCTTTAAATGGGATTTAATTCAAGGAACCAAGCCATAAAAGTATTACTGGCTATAGAAATAGGGGGGAAATATATATCTTTCTCCTCCTTCCTTCTCTCATTTATTCTTCAATTTTTTGTCCTTTCTCTTCTACTCTGTTTTTGTTTTTCTTTTTGTCTCAGTAAATTATCATGGAGGAA